CACCTAAGGACGAGGCCTAAAATCACATGATATAGCTACATTATAGATGATCTGCTCGTTGAACTTCATCTACATATTCTAAAACTCCAACACACCAAGTTTGGGGTGAACCCGTTGTCGTTTGACCTTTCATCCATTCGTATCAATTTTAACGGATTCGAATGAATATAACTATTCACATGGCTCGACGGAGGGTCAAATTAACGACGATAAGTTCACCCCAAACTTTGTGTGTTTGGGTTTTAGAATATATAGATCAAGTTCAACGGTGCGGATCATCCATAATGTAGCTCAATCATGTGATTTTAGATCGCGTCCTTAGATGATTATCTAAAGCGTCACCTTAGGAACACTTTTCCATATATATATATATGGAAAAGTGTTCCTAAGGTGACGCCTTAGATAATCATCTAATGACGCGGCCTAAAATCACATGATTGAGCTATATTGTGGATAATTCGCTCCATTGAACTTGATCTACATATTCTAAAACCCCAACACACCAAGTTTGGGGTGAACCTATCATCATTTGACCCTCCGTTGAGCCATGTGAAAAGTTCTATTCATTCTCGAAACCTTTAAAATTGATACGAGTGGATGAATGGTCAAACGACGACGGGTTCACCTCAAACTTGGTGTGTTAGGGTTTTAGAATATGTAGATCAAGTTTAACGGAGCGGATCATCCATAATGTAGCTCAATCATGTGATTTCACGTACAATGCACGTGGTTAAATACCATGATTAAATATTTTTAATTTATTTTCTTACTAAAATTTATTTCTCAGTTCTACTTTGATTTTTTTGCTTACTTATATATTTAAACTTTAGCACTGTGATTATTTATTTTCTTTAATGATTGTTTGAATGGGCTACACTAAATTTAAATTTTCATGATTGATAATTGTATTGTTAGGAAATAAATATAATCTAAAATTAATTTGAATTTTTACATTATTTGGACCGACATGAAACAAAGCTTGGTTTGAGAAATTATAATGTTGTAAAAGTGAAAAATACTTAAAAATAGCGTTATAAAAGAAAGATGAATAATTAAAGTCAATAAGCCAAGATGATTAATTAACGTGGGATAGAGCGAAACTAAAGAGAATATGAAGTTTATTGCTAATCATTCATAAACTTCAGAATAAATCATAAACTAAAGATTAATGATAATTCTAGTATACTTTTATATGATAAAATCATCCATATAACCATATAAAAATACTTAAAAGAGTTGATGTGACTCCATTCTAAATATTCCTGGTTTTACTCTAAAAATTAAGCTTTTCTATAAAATTAAAAAAAAAAACTTTTATTCTTTCTGTTTTGTTTTTTTATTAAGTTAAGATCAATCATTCTTTACATTTATCTTCTTCCTAAGTAATTCTAGAGTTGTGTCTTCGTTGTCTATATTGATTGTGACATCAGGTTGGAACTGAATTTCTTGTGAGGTTATTTTTCTATGAGCTCGTTCATCTTCTGTCTTCTTGTCTTACTTCACAAAAAAGTTAAATGTATTTTTGATATTCAATATAAACTTTTAAAAATACAGACTTTGATTATTTTTGTGTTTTAATGAGATTAAATGTTAATTTCATATATATAAAAATTTTGCGTTTCTAATTTATTTTTTAAATAAGGTTAGGAGTTACCTCTTTTCTCTTTGCAATGAATTTTTTCTGGTGTACATCCAATAAGAGTTTCTGTTGCGTTAAATAATATTATTTTTTGCTCTGTCTGTGTCATTTTCCACAAGAATTTAAACTAAATAATTGTATTTTTCATTATCAAATTGTCTTAGATTATAATGTTAATATTTAATTTTGATATGTTTATTTCATGAAGAAGGGACATTATCAAATTGTCTTAGATTATAATGTTAATATTTAATTTTGATATGTTTATTTCATGAAGAAGGGATATTACTCAACATTGGTTAGATTATAATGTTAATATTTAATTTTGATATGTTTATTTCATGAAGAAGGGATATTACTCAACATTGGTTTTACATCATTAGTGATTCTATGACATTTATCATTTGGATATTCTTAATAACATCGCTATCCACCTTCTTGTTGTAGCTTTTGCAAGCTAGAACCATAGCTCAACTATATTGTAAATGGTAGTTATCTTTACATTATAGGTCCAATAGCGTGTTTCTATATTGGTAGAGTATTTTTAAGTTTAATTGTGTATATTTTAGAGTAGGTCTTGTAAGAACATACCTCTTTGAATGTTGTGATGATTACATATATCAATAGTTTAAATTTGTATGGTATTTGTAAAGAGCCTTGATGGATATATTTTTATTTTAGCAGCTTATTCTGAAAGAGTCATGCATATTAGCTTTAAAGTGTAATGTTTTTTTCTTTATTGCATTATATAAATATTTACTTGGTTTACTTATCATTCTCTTATTTCTTCAATAAGTTGAAACTTTGGGTTGATATGTATTGTTAACATAATTTATGATGATATGTATATTTCCCATACAAAGTTGAGACAAATATAATATGAATTTTAATAAAATTTTAGAAGCAAAATATGTTACCTTTATATTTTAAGATTTTGAAATCTGACAGTGCTATTACATGTTTATCTTTGATCGCACCTTTAAAAATTGATCATTCATTGGTAATCATATTCCCAAATAAAGTTACTTGTAGAGTCATGCCACTATATAGGAAAACGTATGAAAATTTACAAACGCTTACTATTTTTTTGTATCTTTTATGGAGAATGCTTTTTTGATTAGGACAAAGTTGTTCAATATATTCTTCAAGAGAAACTCAGTCGGTGCTTCTTTGCTAGATATAACTTTTGTCAATGTCAGTTCAAATGATTCATTAATGTTTTCGAATTTTAGGTTTATTTCCTTCACTTCTCCATTTGAAATGAAAATAGCTTGATTTTTTTAAAAGGATATCTATGAACTTTCTAATAATTTCTCTATTCATAAACTTGTTACTCTATGTCATCTCCAAATAATCTATGATCACATATCATACTCTTGAGCTATTGCAAAACATGCTTCCAGTTTTGACACATCAAATTCTATGGTGAATTAAGCAGGTAATTATAT